CTTTATTGGATATGTGATTTACACATACTTTCTGTCTGGCTTGTCTTTTCACTTTCCCAGTGGTGACTTTTGAAGGTTTTTAAATTTTGATGAAGTCCAGTTTATTAGTTTTTTGCTTTTATGCATCATGGTTTTGGTGTTTTAGCCAAGACCCTTGGTCGAATTCCGGGTCATGACGATTTTCTTCTCTGTTTTCTTTTAAATATTTTATAGCTTTGGTTCTTGCATTTAGATTTATGATCCATTTGCACTAAGTTCTGGGCATGATTTGAAATCAAGATCTGTCTGTCTTTTGCATGTGGATGTTGAATGGTTGAAACACTCTTTGTTGAAAAGATGATCTTTGTCCAGTTGAATGGCCTGGTGTCATTGTCAGAAATCTGTCGATCATAAATGTGAGAGTTTATTTTTTGACACTCAGTTCTGTTTTCATTGATTTGTACATCTTTTCTTACATCAATACCATACTGTTCTGATGAGCTTTGCGTTAAAGAAAATTTTGAAATTTATAATTGTGAGTCCAGCACTGTTTTGCTTCCTTTTCAAAACTGTTTTGGCTATTCTGGAATTTTGACATTTCCATACACTCTTTAGGGTCAGTGGTTTGCTAGTTTCTGCAAAAATCTTTTGGGATTTTTGACAGAGATCGCATTGAATCTGTAAATCCATTTGGTGAGAATTGCCCTCTGAACAATATTGAATCTTCCAATCCATGAAATGGAGTGCGTCTTCATTATTTAGATATTATTTAATTTCTCTTAGTATGTTTTGAAGCCTTCAGTATATAGGTCTTATACTTCTCTTGGTAAATTTATTTGTAAATATCTTATTAGTGTTGATGGTATAAATGGAATTAATTCTGTTTTGTTCATTGCTAATATATAGAAATACAGTTGATTTGGAATGTTGAACTTTGACCCTACTGAATTCATTTTTCTAGTAGGTTTTTCTTGTGGGTGTCTTAGAATTTTCTGTGTACAGAATAATTTTGTTCGTGAGTAAAGATTACTGTATTCACAGTTGTCTTGAAGTTTCACATTTAAGTATGTTTTGGTGGGCAGATGCTACAGGTAAGGGAAGAGGGAAACAGTTGGGAAGTATTTAGGAGTTAGAATAAACAGGCTTTAGGAGCTAATTATATACAGTTTATACTAGGATTTATTTTGTACATTTTTGGGTAAGAAGATTCTGGCTTTACTTTTATGAAGTAGGGAGGGTGTTTAAGAAAAAATTATGTCCTTTTGAGAGGATTAACTTTTTGTAGTAGAGATTATTTTCTCTATTTTTAATTGCCAATTTCAAGTCAGTGTTAATATTTATAAATGCTTAATTTTTTTTTGTGTTAATATGTTCCATGAAGTAGGGAGCAGTATTATCACCGTATTTTAATTGATGAAATTGAGATACAGCAAAATGCTGTGGGTCACAGCAATAGTCTCTGCGTCTCCATACACGGTACTTTCTAGTGTAAAAATAATTTGGAGGGGGTTATTCCAAAACTGTGTCAGATGAGATCCACTAGACTTCTGACCTCTGGTCACCCCCACACTGCCAGAAAGGAGGTGTGTTTAAAATGTTCAGTGTGTTATATAGAAGGACAGTCTTCGTTCTTTCGTCTCACATAGCAGCCTGCAGGTTGTAGCCTTCTTGAGTTTCGTGGTTACTCTGGTCCAGTCCTGTGTTCCTGAAGATTTTAACTAGAGACATAAAGACAGTCCCTCAGATCCCAGCTTTGCTTAGCTGTATGTAGAGAGGGAGAGAGCTAACAAGGGTGGTGGCCGTTACAGTGTTCTTCTAAATATGTTAGTAGACATTTTCATTGGGTGTCTTCCTAGACCTCATGGGCTAGGTCTTTGCAAATAGAGAAATCATTACTGTGAACTGTAGCCAGTGTTACTAGTCTTTGGAAACTTGCCCCTAGGGAAGGATGCCTTAGGAGCTTACCAGATCTAAAGTCAGACCCTGCCTCTACCTTTCATAAGCTTAGGCAAGTTACTTTATTTTTGAAATTTAGCTAAAAATATGTATTCTCTCTGATTGTACAATAATACGTGTTGCTGCAGAACACGTGGAAATATAGAAGTCCTCAAAGAGAAGATAAAAATCACCCGTAATTCTTTAGTCAGACAGAAGTCTCCACCCCCATGGAGCTTACGTTCTAGTGATAATCTTTGCAAAAACTAGACATAATGTAACCAATAGAGACATTTGTGACTGTCCATGCTGTGGACCGTGTAAGCAGATAGAAAAGAGAACAGTGGTGAAGGATGAGGACTCTGCGTCCAGATCTTGACCTCTAGTCCTTATCAGTCATGTGACCAAGTGCTTGACCTGTGTTGCTGGCTTAATTACTGGTGTTATCTACTGATATGGAAATATTTCCAACATATATTACGTGTATAATGTCATATATCAAAAAAAGATTATTGTGCGATGTCATGTGTGAACATTAAAAAATAAGGATTTCATATATATGATGATGTGTGTACACCAGTTTCTTGAAGGATAACCAAGAAAATAAATATGAAGTAGTTATATTTGGTGAATAGGTGAATTAGAAATGGTAGACAGAGATACCTTTTGTCTTCACCTCATTGAGAAGTTTGAATTTTATTTTTCTTCCAAAGTTTGAATTTTTTAATGCCATCCACATACTCCTTTTATTATTATTATTATTATTATTTTTGCAGTTTTTGGCCAGGGTTGGGTTTGAACCCACCACCTCTGGCATATGGGGCTGGTGCCCTACTCCTTTGAGCCACAGGCACCACCCAGAATTTACCTCTTGTATTGCTTATTTATTTATTTTTTTCAATTTTTGGCTGGGGCTGGGTTTGAACCTGCCACCTCTGGCATATAGGACCAGCGCCCTACCCTTTTGAGCCACAGGTGCCGTTCCTCTTTTCTTTATATTGGAAAAATCTTGTTTCCTCTGCTTCTTTTAGTAACTTATTTACATAATAGTAGAGCTCGAGTAATTCTGGAACCAGCTTTTTGCAGATATGCTAAAGACACGTTAGAGACCATTTTGCAATAAGTAAACAAATTATATATCTCAAAAAATTGTTTAAAAAATGTTTCACATAGAAGAGTATTATGACTAGATTGTGATTATTTTCCCTTATTAAATATTTACCTATTTGACAGTAATAGTTGCATAGAAACCAATGCAGTTATAGATTGGTTTACTCTGAAAGGCATTTTAAAAGTATTAGGTAGTTTCTAACTTTATTTATTTATTTATTTTTTTCTTTGAGATAGAGTCTCATTTTATCATTCTGGTAAAAGTGCCATGGTGTCATAGCTCACAGCAACCTCAGACCCTTGGGCTCAAGCAGTTCTCCTGCCTCAGCCTCCTGAGTAGCTGGAACTATAGTTGCCCACCACAATGCCCGGCTGTTTTTTTAGAGATGGGGTCTCGCTCTTGCTCAGGGTGGTCTCAAACTCATGAACTCAGGCGATCCACCCGCCTCCTCTCCCAGAGTGCTGGGAATACAGGGTGAACCTCCCCTCCTGGCCCTAAATTCATTCTCGTTCTCTACCATTTATTTCCCTTTTCTGTCTCTTAACCCTCATTATCTGTCTCTTCATTTCTCTCTCCCCCCATTGTCTCTGACTCTGAGGATTAAAGATGGATTAGATACGGTCCCTGCCCTTCAGGAGCTCACATCATTTGCTCTATTCTATAGTAGTAGTCTTTTCTTTTTTTTATTAATTTAATTTTTAATTAAAATCATAACTGTATACATTTATGGGGTACAATGTGATGATTTGATATACAACGCAGAATGCTTAAATCTAATTAATATGACCAACACCTCACTTTTTTTTTTTTTTTGAGACAGAGTCTCACTATGTCACCCTCAGTAGAGTGCTGTGACGTCACAGCTCATATCAACCTCAAATTCTTGGGCTTAAGCAATTCTCTTGCCTCAACCTCCCAAGTAACTGGGACTATAGGTGCCCGCCACAACACCCAGCTACTTTTTTTTGTTTTTTTTTTGTTTTTTTTTGCAGTTGTCATTGTCGTTTAGCAGGCCCAGGCCGGGTTCAATCCCGCCACCCTAGGTGCATGTGGCTGGCACTGTAACTACTGTGCTATGGGTGCCGAGCCTCCTCACTTATTTTTTGTGGTAAGGCATTTACACTTTGCTCTTAGTTATTTTGAAATACACCTTTGCATAGTGCACATTAGGTGAGATCCACCAATCGCCCTTCCCCTTTCCCCTCCCTCGGTCCCCCCCCCTTGCTAGACTGTATTTGTGTTTTGTCACTGGTCTGTATGAGTGTCTAAGTGTTTATATATTGGTTTGGTAATAGTGGGGAGTACATTGGATACTTTTTTCCCCATTCTTGAGATACTTTACTAAGAAGAATTGTTCCAGCTCCATCTAGGTAAACATAAAAGATTTAGTCTCTGGTCCCAAAACAGCTCTAAGAGTGTTCTTTAGTTACTTTGTAGGGAGGGAACTGGGTGTCTCTCTCTTCTATCCTCATTTTCCTCCCACTTGTGCTCCTCTGCATGCATTAAGCACCTCCTGTGTGTCAGGCGCTCTGCTGGAGGGTGCAGGATGAATAAGATCAAGGCTGGCTGCTTCATTGTTTGATTCCTTGCAAGGAGAAAGGGAAATAGATTCCAAAACAATCTGACAGAGGTATTGTTTGGATACAGTCCTTGATAGAAAATTGCCACCAGAATTAGAGATTATACATTTTCTTCCTTTTTTTTTTTTTTTTGTGAGACAAGGTCTTGCTCTGTCACCCAACCTGGAGTGCAGTGGCCTGATCACAGCTCACTGCAACCTTCAGCTCCTGGACTCAGTCCTCCTGGCTCAGCCTCCTGAGTAAGCAGGACTACAGGTGCACGCCACCATACTCAGCCAAGTTTAAATTTTTTTATAGAGACAGGGTCTTACTGGTCTTACCAGTCTGGTTCCCAACTCTTGGACTCAAGTGATCCTCCTGCCTTTGGTCTCCCAGAGTGCTGAGATTATAAGCAGGAGCCACCACGCTGGGTCTGATTTTCTTTAATTGTAGACATTAACCCGTTTTGAGACATTTACACTGAATAAGAGCATAGCAGGGTCCAGTCAGAGGTGATGTTTTCCCGGCTGATTCCTCACGGAGGTGGCAGAGGTGCTTCTGAGCGTGAGTGTTGCTGACCTGAGGAGCCAAGTTCTTCTTTATCCCCCAGCAGTCTTTATACTTGGGGTTACATTACCACTACTCCAGAGAAACCTTTGCAGTTCTTATGCTTCCTCAGAGACTGTTTACAACCTTGGACTTTCCTATCACTGAAATCAAACTAAGTGTCAGCAAGGCAAAGTTCTTTCAGTGGCGGGTCTGCTGCCGGTAGGGCTTCCAGGCCTGCAGGCTGCATTTCCTTGAATGCACACAGAGAAACAGGCTGTTTTGAAAGCAGAGGAGGCGTCCCTCACCCGAGTGACACAAACAGGAATCATGAGGCTTCATAGAGGACGTGATACAGCTCTTGAAAGTTATTGGACCTGTCTAAAACATACCTGATTTGTAGTTTTCACCACCTAGATGGAATAATGATGCTTTTAAGTTAAATTATAAACATCATTTGTATATCTAAAACGTAAGGACATTTTCCTGTATTATTACAGCACTGTTTTTACACATGAGAAACATTGAAAAAAAATAACTCTAGGCTCAGCGCCTGTGGCTCAAGTGGCTAAGGCACCAACCACATACACCTAAGGTGGCAGGTTCGAATCCCCAGCCCGGGCCAGCCAAACAACAATGATGGCTGCAACCAAAAAATGGCCAGGCGTTGTGGCGGGCGCCTGTAATCCCAGCTACTTGGGAGGCAGAGGCAGGAGACTCGCTTGAGCCCAGGAGTTGGAGGTTGCTGTGAGCTGTGATGCCACAGCACTCTACCCAGAGGGACAGCTTAAGGCTCTGTTTCCCAAAAAAAAAAAAAAACTCTTGGAGGCACCCATAGCTCAGTGGGTAGGGCACTGGCCACATACACCCAGCCCAGGCCTGAAAAACAACAGTGACAACTACAATAAAAAAAAAAAATAGCTGGGCGTTGTGGCGGGCTCCCGTAGTCCCAGCTACTTGGGAGGCTGAGGCGAGAGAATCGCTTAAGCCCAAGAATTTGAGGTTGATGTGAGCTGTGACGCCACAGCACTCTACCTAGGATGATAGCTTGAGACCCTGTCTCAGAAAAAACAAAACAAAACAAAAAAACTCTTATGTAATACCTTGTCCATGTTCAATTTCCCATTATTCCCCGAAATGTATCTTATAGCTGGTTTGTTGAGATCAAGATCCAGCAATAACCATATATTGCATTTAATTGTATCTCTTAATTCTGCTGTCCCCCCCATCTTAAATAGGCTTTATCCTTAGTCTTAAGGCTTTTAAAATTTTTTAAATATTTATTTATTTAGAGACATAATATAATTTATTTATTTAAGTAAATAAAATATTTATTTATTTAGAGACATAGTCTCTCTGTGTCACCCTTGGTAGAGTGCTCTGGTGTCACAGCTCACAGCAACCCCAAACTTCTAGGCTCAGTTGATTCTCTTGCCTCAGCCTCCCGAGTAGCTGGGACTACAGGTGCCCCCCACAACACTGAGCTGTTTTTAGAGACAGGGTCTCACTCTTGCTCAGGCTGGTCTTAAACTCCTCAGCTCAGGTGATCCACCAGCTTCAGCCTCCCAGAGTGCTAGGATTAAGGCTTTTTTAAATGCTAAAACTTAACCTTCTGGCTTGGCGCCTGTGGCTCAAGTGGCTAAGGCGCCAGTCACATATACCTAAGGTGGCAGGTTTGAATCCAGCCTGGGCCCGCCAAACAACAATGACGGCTACAACCAAAAAATAACCAGGTGTTGTGGCGGGCGCCTGTGGACCCAGCTACTTTGGAGGCTGAGTCAGGAGACTCGCTTGAGCCCAGGAGTTGGAGGTTGCTGTGAACTGTGATGGTACAGCACTCTACCCAGGGGGATAGCTTGAGGCTCTGTCTCAAAAAAAAAAAAACAAAAAACCTTAACCTTCTTAACCTTGTCCTTACATCTTTATTTATCCATCACATTGACCTGTTGAAGAGACGGTGACCCACCTAGTTTTCCTCTGATTGCTTCCTTATGATACTATCATGTTACACTGTCACCTGTGTTGCCTGTAAAGGTTTGATTAAGTACAGGTTAAACATTTTTGGCACAAATACTTCATAGGCAATACAGTGTTGTTTTTCTTTAATCTATTGTTTTTCTTATCTTTTTCGGGGGGGGGGCAGAGTCTCACTTTGTCACCCTTTGTAGAATCTGTGATACCACATCTCACAGCAACCTCTAACTCTTGGGCTCAATTAATCCTTTTGCCTCAGCCTCCTGAGTAGCTGGGACTACAGGCGCCTGCCACAATGCCTGGCTATTTTTAGAGACGGGGTCTCCCTTTGGCTCAGGCTGGTGTCAAACCCGTGAGGTCGGGCAATCCACCCACCTCAGCCTCCCAAGTGCTGGGATTACACATGTGAACCACTGTGCCTGGCCTTCTTTCTTTTTGAGATAGGACCCCGCTCTGTCACCTAGTTTGGAGAACAGTGGTGTGATCATGGCTCACTGCAACCTCCAACTCCTGGACTAAAGCAATCCTCTTGCCTCAGCCTCCATGTCTGGCTTATTTTTAAATGTTTGTAGAGAAGGGGTCTCATTATATTACCCAGGTTGGTCTTGAAATCCTGGCCTCAAAGGACCTTCCAGCCTCAGCTTCCCAAAATGCTGGGATCACAGGGTGAGCCACTGGCCTGGTTTTTTCCTTCCTTCCTTCCTTCCTTCCTTTTCTTCCTTTTCTTCCTTTTCTTCCTTTTCTTCCCCTCTCGTCCCTCCCCCTTCCTCCCTCCCCTCCCCACCTTCTCCCTCCTTCCCCCTCTTCCTTTCTGTTGCATACATTTATTCACCTGTGTATCTTAGGATAGTAGAATCTGAAAAGGTGGAGATTCTGCTGGTCTTCCAGTTCCTTCAGGATTCTGATGGACGCTGGAAGTGGTGGTGTGGGTCTGGGCACCACCATGTCGGTCTGGGCACCACCGTGTCAGTCTGGGCACCACCGTGTCGGTCTGGGCACCACCATGCGGTCTGGGCACCACCGTGTCGGTCTGGGCACCACCAGCTACTGTTTCCCTGCAGGAACTGCAGCTTCTCTCTTCATCTTGGTTTTGCCAGAGAAGGAGCAAGTGGATTTGGCTTGGTTGGTGCTGATTTCAGTTTTCATTACCAGAGGGAGGCATCACAGCGGGTTCCAGAGTTATTGACAGTCCAGACCTTCTTGGTACATTCGGCCAAGTTGCCACAAACTCTGTGACACCAGCTGCACATGATGCTGGAACCCTGGTACAGCCCACCAGTCACCGGGCTTGGGTTTGTCCCAGGCCTGGAGTATGAGTGTTCTTGTCCTCTTTTCTGGGGGGGGATTTTTAGCTGTCCCTTTTTGCCTTGTCCCTGACACATTCCTTTACCCTTCCCTTCTTCCCTGACTGCTTAGCTGTAAATAGTGCCCGTTCTAAGAACTCTTATTCTCTTGTTTGACATGTGTGTATTCCATTGCAGCCATTCTGGGGGGACTTTGTGGGGGTAACGCAACTGAATTCTCTTATAAGGAGAGTTTAGTATGAACTCCCCTTACTCATCTTTACCCAAGACTTCTTGTCCTGTGGAGGGTGACGAGAGATGAGAGGTGGGCGGAGGTGGGTGACATCATCCTCGGGTGGTGGAGGTTGTGGCTAGACAGGGCATCTGAAGGTCGGGTGGGTTGAGGAAAGGTTAGAAGCAGCATGATTTCCCTCACAGTGGGGGTCCTTGCTGGTTATTCCCGCACCCTCTGGTGAGTGGCCTGAGGAGGTGCTTGCTTGTAATGCTTGCTAACATTGTGAGGCAGGTTGCAGAAATGCAGAGTTGAAAAGAGATGATAAATAGACGTTGGATCATGTTTCCTTGGGAGGGGAATACGGCATTTTCCTATTCATAATTTAGGAGCATAACTTTTGGCCCAATCTTCTTCTCTCTTTGTAGTTAATGTTAACAGCTTATTAAAAGTTAAAAAAAGACTTCCTTTCATTCCTTTCCTCTATCAGCTATTCCTAAGAGTATGAAAAACTGTTATTGGAAAAAGTAATCTGTTGATAAATAATTTTAACTGACATCAGAACGTGTGTATTCATCATATTTTTTTCTTGTATACTTTTTGGATCACGGTATGGTTAAGAAATACTATTTTTTAATTTGGTGCCATTTTCTCATTGCCATTCTACGAAGTCTTTTTAGAAAGTCTCAGTGTAAATACACCCCTTGTTCAGGTTGCAGATATTTTTATGGCTACTATAGCTCAGTTTGGAAATGGCTCTTGTTGCATATCACACTTTATTTTCAAATTAGCACTTGTCACGTAGAATACATTCTACGTGTAGAATTCTATTCATTTGTAATGTGGAGATTGCATTTTTAACATCTATTATTAAACAAAAAGTACCTCTTTTTGAAATAACCATCTTTCATTTCTTTTAGGTTTCACATTTTAACACCTTCTGAAATTATCAGTTGATTGATTTGGAAAATGAATGGTGGTTAGTTGGCAAAGGTTCTTTTTCTTAGCTGTGCATAGAGTAATGTTACATCTTAACAGTTAATGACATCTTGAGTTTGATGACGTACAGTACTTTACCATTCAGCTAACTCATGCGATAGCCCTAGAAACACTGAAATAGTGTGGGATTGGTAGATTTAGTTAATACAATGAGGTAGATAGACAAAGTATTTGTTCTGTCTCTCTGTCTGTCTTTAAGAGCTTTTCCTATTCTCATCTCAGTTTTGATGAAGGGATCAGGATGTGTAAGGACGTTAAACTAAATGTAATGATGAATACTCACATCGTGTAGGCGTCATTGAAAGGCCCAATGAAGTCCTGGAAACTGAAGTGAATGTTCAGAATTTACCCCTTTTGCCCTATCCTCAATCTATTCTCCTCCTCAAAGATTTCATTCCCTCTCCAGCTTTCAAATCTAACATTGTTGTCTTCTTAGGCTCTTCTCTTCCTCGTCTGCTCAGAGTTAACCAATTTTTTTATTAGTAGACTTTTGGGGGGAGTAGTTTTAGTTTTATAGAAAAATGAGTGGAAGTTTGGCGTATTCCCAAATGCAACCCCCCTTCCCAATTTCCCCTATTGCATTAGTCGGTACATTCATTATGATTGATGAGCCAATATTGAAATACAGTATTATTAACTGAAGTCAGTAGATGACGTCAGGGTCACTTTTTGTGTTGTATATTCTGTGGGTTTTGACGACCCGAGTCCTCCATTGCAATATCATAGAATCGTTTCACTGCCCTAAATATCCCTACCTGTTCATTCCTGTCTCCTCCCACCCCTACCCCCAGCTCCTGGCAATCTCAGGTCTTTCTACCATTTTCCATAGTTTTGCCTTTTCCAGAATGTCCTGTAGTCAGAATCATAGAATATGTAGCTTTTTAAGGCTGGCTTCTTTCCCTTAGTGATACTCTTTTAAATTCCTCCATGTCTCTTCATGCTTGCAGCTCATTTCTTTTGCCACTGAGTAAAACTCCGTGGTGTGGATGAACTGCACTTCATTTTCCTGTTCACCTGCTGAAGGACAGCTTGGTTGCTTCCAAGTTTTGTTAATTATGAATAACAAGTTAGCCCCTTAAAATACAAATATGATCTAAAGTCAACTCTAAAAAAAGTTGAGCTGATTCACTATCTTGAGCTTTAAAGAATCTTTGTTTCTATATAAAACATTTCTTTCTAACTGTGCCGTTGGCTCCTAACATTGCTGATACATCTGTGATTGAATATGAAAGGCAGGAGGGGAGGTATTGAAGAGAAGCAGCCAGGAAAATGATTACATCCTAAAGCTGGATAATTTTTGGAAAATGAGATTGTTTTGAAACTTATTTGGAAATTCCAATGGGAACCAAGATGTTCAGGGCTCTGAATTAAACCATTAGCTTGAAACACTACAGGGCTTTTTCTTCCTAATTTTATCATATGTTGATTTGTTTACAAAATATTTTCCAATTTATATCTTTAAAGTATAGACATTTTAATGTACACATCCTTTTATAGCTTCTAGCTATATCCAGCTTTTTAGTGTGTCCAGCTTTATCATAGGCCATTGTGTGTTTCCTAAAGTGCCATATTAAAAACGTCTCACAGGCAGGTGCAGTGGCTCATCATGCCTGTATTCCTAGCACTTTGGGAGGCTGCAGTGGATGGATTGCTTGAACTCAGGAATTCGAGACCAGACTGAGCAAGAGTGAAATCCCCCCACCCCCATCTCTGCTAAAAATAGAAAAATTAGCCAGGTGTTAAGGAAAAAAACAACCACCAAAGAACCATCTTGTGTAAGTGGACTGTCACTCCTGTATCCTACAGGAGCATTATAAAGAAATTCTAATGTAATTATAAGCTAGAAAAGTATTTAATTATATTGATGTTCTGTTCTTTAAATAATTTTTAATATATTTAGTTTCCTGAGGCGGATCACATTCTGCTTAGAAAAGCATCACAAGAATGGAGAAGCAAGAATCCAGTGTACTCAATTCTAATATGAAGGCCATAGCTGAGCTCATACAAGGGGGGAGGGGTGGTGGGAGAATGAGGGAGGGAGATGGGAGGAGGAGGGGGATGGGGTCACAGTGTGTGACACACTCTTGGGGGCAGGACACAATTATAAGAGGGACTTTGTCTATTAAATGCAATCAGTATAACCTAATTATTTGTACCCTGGATGAATCCCAAACAATGAAAAAAAAAAAAAACCAGAAAAGAAAAAGTATATATGTGTGTGTGTGTGTGTGTGTATATATATATATATATTATTTTTTTTTTTTTGTGGCCAGGGCTGGGTTTAAACCTGCCACCTCCTGCATATGGGGCCGGCACCCTACCTCTTTGAGCCATAGGCATTGCCCAAAGTATATATTTTTTTAAATATCTTTTTAAGCTAGGTGGTTTTGTTTTTTTTTTCAAGTATTGAATGTGATGTCTTTGCTTTCTTCATTACAGAACTGTGGCAGCTGAAGTTCGGAAGCAGATCTCTGGGCAATATACTGGTTCTCCCCAACTGCTCAAAAACCTCAACATAGTTGGCAATATATCTCATCACACCACAGTAAGTAGCATATTTCAAAATGCAGTGGGTTATTGTTGTGTTACTGACTAGGTCATGGAAAAATAGTGGAAAGGTAAGAGATAACAGATGGAGAAATTTGAATTGGGAGAGCATATTAGGGGATATTACAGGTGTTGGTTTCCTTTCAAAAAGATAAATGAAATTAATAAACCACTAGGTGGACAAACCAAGAGGAGAACAGAGAAGATCCAAATAAACACAATTCAGGAATGAAAAAGGAGACATTACAGTGCTGCTACAGAAAAATAAAAAAGGTCATCAGAGACTATTATGAATAAGTCTATGCGTATAAACTAGAAAACCTAGAGAAAATATATAAATTCCTGAAAACATAACCACCTCCCAAGATTGAACCAGAAAGAAGTAGAACTCCTGAATAGACCAATAATGAGTGGATCGAATCAGTAATAAAAAACTCTCCCAACAAGGAAAGGCTCTGGGCTAGATGGATTCACAGGTGAACTCTGCCAGACATATAAAGACAGGTGCTAACCCTGCTGAAACTGCTCCAAAAGATGGAGACGGAGGGAACCCTCCCTAATTCACCCTGATACCAAAGCCAGGAAAAGATGCAGCCAAAAAAGAAAACTACAGACCAGTACTTCTAATGAAAATATATGGAAAAATCCTCAACAAAATGCTAGCAAGCCAAATTCAACAGTACATGGAAAGGATTATTCACCATGCTCAGGTGAATTTTATCCCAGCAACGTAAGGGTTGTTCAGCATATGCAAGTCAATAAATAAGATTCACCACATAAACTGAATTAAAAACAACCCTATGATCATTTCAGTAGATGTGCAGAAAGCATTTGCTAAAATCCAGTATCCCTTCAAGATAAAAATCCTCAAAAAAACTCAGCCTAGAAAGGGTGTACCTCAAAATAATTAAAGCCATGTGTGGCACACCCAACTTCATACTGAATGGGGAAAAATTGAAAGCATTTCCCCTGAGAACTAGAGCAATACAAGAATGCCCATTTTCAGCACTTGTAGTCGACATAGTACTGGAAATCCTTACCATAGTGAGGCAAGAGAAAGAAATGGAAGGCATCCAAATTGGAAAAGGGGACCTCAAATTATCTTTGTTTGCTGGTGATATTATCTTATACCTACAAGACTACAGGGATTCTTCCAAAAGACTCCTAGATTTAATAAATGAACAAAGTCTCAAAATTGTATAAAATCAATATACAAAAGTCAATAGCATTTCTATACACCAGTAAAGACGAAGCTGAGAACCAAATCAAGAACTCAATACCATTTACAACAGCTGCAAAATGTATAAAATACTAGGAATAAGTTTAACCAAGGAGGTGAAAGATCTCTTCAAAGAGAACTAATAAATCACAGATGAAAGAGATCATAGATTGTACAAACAAGTAGAAAAAGACCTCATTTCATGGATCAAAAGAATCTATACTGTTAAAATGAGTGTGCTGCTCAAAGCTGTCTACAGATTCAGTGCAGTCCGCAGCTGGAGTGCAGTGCAGTGGCATCAGCATAGCACCGCGCCCTCAGACTCTGGGGCATAAGTGATCCCTCTGCCTCAGCTTCCCACATAGCTGGGATTATAGGCATGTACCACCAAACTTGGTTAATTTTTAAATTTTCTGTAAAGGGAGGAGTCTCACTCTTGGTCAGGCTAGTCTTGAGCTCCTGATCACAAGTAGGTCTCCTGCCTCAGCTTCCCAGAGTGCTGGGATTACAGGTGTGAGCCGCTGCACTGGCCTCTTCAAGTACTTAAAAAAAGTCATGCCGCTTTCTTCTGGCCTCCATAATTTTTGATGAGAAATCTGAGAAAGAATTTTTTTCCTGTAGAAGTAAGGTGTTATTTTCTCCTGATTGCTTTTAAGATTTTGTCTTTAGCTTTCAGAAATTCGACTGATGTGTCTTGGCATCTATTTCTTTGGGTTCACCCTGTAAGTTTTGCTTACCTTCTTGAGTCTACAGGCTTATGTTCTTTTTACAGTTTTAGAATTTTTCAGTCATTATTTCTTTAGACATTTCCTCCCTGCCCTCTTTTTCCTCACTTTCCAGGATTCTGGTGACATGAATCTCGTATACTTTCTTATAATCCCTGAAGTTCTGTTTTTTGTTTTGTTTTGTTTTGTTTTGTTTTGTTTTTTTCCCTGTTTTCTCTCTGACGTTGAGACTGGGTGATTTCTATTTCCTCCTCTTCAAGGTCATGGATTCTTACCTCCTTTTTCTCTTCTGTTCTATTGTACCTGCCTGTTGAATTTTTTTTATTTTGGTTATTGTATTTTTCAGTTCTAAAATTTCTATTTAGCTCTTTATAGCTTCCTTTTTTCCCCTGAGACTTTGTTTCTTTATGGAGAGTTTCCATTTTTTTCGTTTGTTTAAAAAGTGTTTACAATTGCTGTTGAAGCGTTTTTCTGTTGTTTGTTTTAAAATCTTGTCACATAATGCTAAGATCTCTTGTTACTGACATCTACTGATTGTCTTTTTTCATTTGAATTGAGATTGTGCTGATTTCTAGTATGATCAGGGATATTTGATTGGAAGTTGGATATTTTAGGTCTCATGTTGTAAATCTCTAGATCTTACTTAAATATGTTTTAGGCAGCTGCTTCTGACATTGCTTTGGTTGTAGATGGGTGTGTATTACCTGTATGGACAGAAGGGTAGATGTCCAGGTTGCCTCTGCATCCTCTTTTGGTTTGTAAGGAGAAGGGCTGCTTATTACTGCTGGGCAGAAATGGGAGTTCACTGGATCACTGTTCACTCTACTCGGCTGGGAAGAGAGAATTTGCCTCGTCACTGCTCCTCAAGTGGCCTCCACTGACACCCGGGGGTGTGGGGCTTTGTCACAGGGGGCAGTGGTGAAGTACCGACTTTCCGCTAGGCCTTGCTGACACATCCCTGGTGGTAAAGGAAAGGGGAACTTGTTGTCACTTTGGGAGAGTGGATGTCCAGAATCCTGGTGTGCTCTTGTTGACCCTGTGGATGTCCAGAATCCCGGGGAGCTCTCGTTGATCCCGGGGATGTCTGGAATCCCGGGGTGCTCTCGTTGACCCCGTGGATATCTGGAATTCCGGGGTGCTCTCATTGACATTGTGGATATCTGGAATCCTGGGGTGCTCTCATTGACCCTGTGGATGTCCAGAATCCTGGAGTGCTCTCATTGACCCCCGTGGATATCCAGAATCCCGGGGTGCTCTCATTGACCCTGTGGATGTCCGGAATCCCAGGGTGCTCTCATTGGCACTGTGGATGTCCAGAATTCCGGGGTGCTCTCATTGACCCTATGGATGTCTGGAATCCCGGGGTGCTCTCATTGACCCCCGTGGATATCCGGAATCCCGGGGTGCTCTTGTTGACCCTGTGGATGTCCGGAATCCCAGGGTGCTCTCATTGACACTGTGGATGTCCGGGGCGCTCTCCTTGACCCTGTGGATGTCCAGAATCCCAGGGTGCTCTCATTGACCCTGTGGATGTCCAGAATTCCAGGGTGCTCTCATTGACACTGTGGATGTCTGGAATCTCGGGATGCTCTCATTGACCCCGTGGATGTCTGGAATCCCGGGGTGCTCTCATTGACACT